ATGGAAAAACACAATTATTTATTAAAAAGTCTACCACATCATTCGTGTCCCTAAGAATTACTTTGTACCCGAGTTCATGCACCTTGCTGGATTCTGGAACGGTCATTGTTATTAAACGTTAGTAGAGAAAAATTCCGATTTGCGATAATTTACTCGTAACCTTAAATAACGATTACCGAAATCAAATTAAAACAAGCACAAAGCACTAACTCGACACACGCAAACGTAAGCACGTTTAACACAAAATTCTGTCACCGAAATTTTGAATCAATTTATTGTTGATTTGTCGGTAAAACAATCAACGGCCTAATTTTGAATACTGCAAATGTACAGTGCATTGCAATCGCACGTGCTGGGCGCGCAAATATTGTTGTCTATTATCACTATTGCAAGTACGGAAATAAGACTAGCCTCATAGCCTCAACTTTATCTTTTTTCAACTCATACCGTTTATGAGTGTACTAGCTTTTCGCCCGCGGCTTCGCTCGCGTAGACGATTCGTTGTGTTGAAGAGCATTATTAGATTATTACTAAGGCTAGGCGGTTGAAATTTAAATGCTCCGTATTGCCTCCCACTACGGCCGACCAGTAGCTTGTAGCCGATGTTATGTATCGCGAAGAAAATTATGAGAAAACAAATATGAAGTGATCGTCAGTTGATGATTTCGAAATCCATATCCACAAAATAGTAATAATAATAGTTTTAATAATTTTCAAGTGTCGGTCTCGTTGAAAATAAAACTAAGTATTTGTGTACATTATCAAAAATAATGCACAATTGGTAAGCGAGAAGAGAGTAAGGCAAGGCTGTAGCCTCCTGCACTGTGGACGGGTAGTGGGAATAAATAAATTTCGACCGCACAGCTCTAATTATTACCAACCTTTAAGTAAAAAATGTGTTGAAGCGCACTAATACAATTTCCAGTAAAAATCAACATAAAAATATTTTTGCTCATAACACATTTGTCACCCTCTTTCATCTTCTTAGGGTTGCAATCTCGAAAGAATCTGAAATACGGGTTTCATTATTTGTGTTGAAGAGTATTCATACCAAGTTACCCGTAAAAATTTAAATTTACAGTAGAGATATTTTTCCCATATGAATCTCGGAAAATGCTTAAATACGTGTTTCATTATTTGTATTCAAGAACATTAATACCAAGTTTCACCTAAAAATTTAAATTTACAATAGAAATATGTTTCCCATACAAACTTAGCCTCCACATTTCCCTCACTTAGGGGATGAATCTTGGAAAATGCTTAAATACGCGTTTCATTATTTGTATTGAAGATTATTAATTAAATATCAAGTTTCACGTAAAAATTTAAATTTACAACAGAAATATTTTTCCAAACAAATTTAACCAGTACTTTTCAGCCTCTTAAAAATTAGAGGTTGAATCTTAGAAAATGCTCAAATACGTGTTTCATTGTTTGTATTGAAGAGCATTAATACTAAGTTTCACGTAAAAATGTAAATATACAATGCAAATATTTTCCCATACAAACTTAACCAGTACTTTTCACCCCCTTAGGGGTTGAATCTCAAAAATGCTTAAATACGTGTTTCATTATGAATTAATAGGTACTAAATTCCACGTCAAAAATTTACAATAGAAATAATGTTCCCATATATAAAGTTAGCCATCACTTTTCACCCCCTTAGGGGTTGAATATCGGAAAATGCTCAAATATTTACGTGTTTCATTATTTGTGTTGAAGAGCATTAAAACCAAGTTTCACGTAAAAATTTAGATATACAATAGAAATATTTTCCCATAGAAATTTAGCCTCCATATTTCACCCCTTTAGGGATTGAATTTTAGAAAATGCTTAAAGACGAGTTTCATTATTTGTGTTGAAGAACGTTAATAGCAAGTTTCACGTAAAAATTTCAATTTATAGTAGAAATATTGTTCCTATACAAATTTAGTCACCCAAACTTAAGACACCACTTTTCACCCCCCTAGAGGGTCGAATCTTCAAAAATGCTTAAATATGTGTTTCGTTGTTTGTGTTGAAGAGCATTAATACCAGGTTTTAAATAAACATTACCATTAAAATATTTTTGCCAATACGCACCCCTTTTCGCCCCCTTAGGGGTTGAATATCGGAAAATGCTTAAATACGTATTTCATTATTTGTATTGAACAGAATTAATACCAGATTTCACGTAACGATGTAAATGTACAGTATTGGTCCTTTACAAATTCTATCACTCCTTTTCACCCCCTTAGGGGATGAATTTCGAGAAATCCATTCTTAAACGATGCCTCCAGCATAAATGAACATTCTCTCCAAATTTCAACTTTCTAGCATTAGCGGTTTGGTTAATAGGTCAGTCGGAACATTGCCTTCTATATATAAAGATTGGAAGTTGTTTGCATATTAACGGACATCAAGCTTCGAGTTTGCTTCATTCGCCTCATAAAATGCGTGTTGTGTCGAGTGTTGAAGCGCGTTGTTTAATGAAGGGAGCAGCGATTAGCTACCTAGATAAGAATGTAAGTATATGAAATCCTTTTACTCTGTTACGGAGCATAGGGCTTCTACGAAGCACTTCCACCCTTTTTTTCCTTCGCCATTCTTGCCAGTTCTTTCCATCTTTTCCCTATTTTCTTGCGTTCCTCTTCCGTTTTTCTTCTCTAGGTTAAATGTGGTCTTCCTCTGTTTCGTTCTCCTTCCATAGTCCATTTCAGTGCATGTCTGTGGATGTCATCAAGTTGTTTTCTCAAAGTGTACCCTATCCAGTTCCATTTCCTTAGTTTTATTTCCTTTCTTATTGGTTCTTGCACAAATCTAGCCCATAGCTCTTTATTCGTGATGGTTTTGGGCTAGAAGATTGCAGTTTATTTAGGTTGTTTTTAGTAACAGACCATGTTTCACATCTGTATAATAGCACTAACTTAACGTTACTGTTGAAAATTCGTCTTTTCGTTCGTAGGCTGAGCTTCGATGATAGCTAGATATTTTTCATTTTCGCAAACGCTCCTTATGCTTTCTATATCCTCTGTTTTGTGTCTAATTCTGCTCCTTCTTCCCTACTGATTATGTTGCCTAAGTAGCAAAATTGATCTATTTTTTGTATTTCCTTTTCCTTTAGGTAGAGTTTTTCTGGCTTTTCTTCCATGTTTATTCTCATTTCAACTGTTTTCTATACATTTATGTCAAGTCCAAGTTTCATTGCTTTTTCTTCTAAATTTTGTAACCTTTTTCCCATATCTTCAATTGGTCTTGAAATTAATCAAATGTCGTCTGCGTACTCGAGGTCTATTAATCTTTTTCCCTGAAAGTAACTCCACGCAATTCCGTTTTTTTTCCTATTGTTTTGTTCATTAATATATAAAATCTAAACATATATTGAATAACATGGGCGATAGAATACATCCTTGCTCAACACCTTTCTGTATTTTTATTTTATCTGATAAACGGTCTCTTGCAGTATTTGGCATGTCGCATCATCGTACATATTAGCTTGATCAGCTTCTGAATCAGACTTACGTGAATAATACTGTCGAAGGCTTTCGCGAACTCAATAAAAACCAGTATATGGTTTTCCCCTATTATTCTTTGGTGTATAATGCATGCTACTATTTTATTTATTGTACATAGCACTTACCCCTCGCCAGTTCTTACAGATTTTGCATCTCCTTTTTTGGGTAGATTTATTATATTCCCATTTCTCCATTCTTCAGGAATACTTTGTTTCTCCCATATGTCTGTTATTAGGGGTGTTAGTATCTTTGCTGTTTCTCAAATACTTAATAGCTTGCTCAAGTTCTTTTTTGTGGGTTTCTCCGTGTCAATATCCAAAATCTTTTTTTACCATTCGAACTCGAAAAGAACAAATACAGACGACACTATTAACTGAACTTTTTAATTTTTAATGCAAACAATCTGTATTTACTGGTTTAATTTTTCCTGTATAATAATACATCAAACATTTCATTTTATTCACAATCGGTATGTAATATGTCATTTGCCAACTTTTTTGAAGTTTGAAAGTGAGCAATTGTTTGTCATCTGTACGAACCTCGTCGGAGGTCGGCAAATTTTTTGCCATGGCCGACTAGTATAAAGATTATGGCCTGTCCAAAGGAATGTCAAAGGTACATTACGTGCTGCCATCTATTAATAATTCAAAAACGACAAAAGAATTATTAACACCTTTTGAAAGGCACAAAGGCATTCATACCGAAACAAACCACCATTACACGTTTTGAAGTCCCATAATGTCAAGTCAAATTAAAATTTTGCTAAATTATTAAGTGTAATTATTAATAGATGGCAACACGTATCGTACCTCTTGGACAGGCCATAATCTTTATACTAGTCGGCCATGTTTTTTGCGAACCTCCACGCCAGTGAAGGCTTGATTTCTGTAGTATTGTTTGATTTTCAAATAAATTGTTCCTTAGATAAACACCCACTTCTACCCCAGCGTATGGTTGGAAAACAACCTAAATAAAGCTACAGGTGCCCATAGCAAATCTGAAGACATTTTATTTAGCGTATTTGCCTCAAATAATTTAATAAAAAACTTGAAAAAATTATAATGTCAAGTTTGACATGGAACGCCTGCTGTCTAATTATAAAATGAGTGAAGTGAATTTTTATTTCCATTTATTTTTATTTATAATGATTGTGAATAAAATAGTATACATACACTCGGTGGACGTGTTTCATTCCCGTCTCACGCCTGTTGTTGACCTCGACGCTACGCGTCTCGGTCCAACAATCTGGCGTTCGACGGTAATGAAACACTTTCCGCCTCGATATGTAATATTATATACTATTTTTCTGCTACCGATAGCGTAAATGAATCTTATTGCTCCAGTGACACTGATGTAAGCGTAAGTGAAGTAAATAGGGCAACCTCGTTGCTAGCTCCGTAAGTAGGTTACTAAGGGCGTAAGTGTTACTTACGCTGCCAGGACAAAAAAGTAATGAAAGTAGTAGAATGTCAGAGAAATGTCAATAATTTCATTTTACAGCAATAGTTTCTTTTATAATTATTTATTAATATTAACTGTAACACTACACTCAGTAATATTTATTAAAGGATTATTATTTGAAGTTATTTCAAAATTAGTAACTGTCACATTTTCATCAACTGCATGAGCTTCCAACATTTTCTTATATAATTGAGGTAACAAACAGAACTGACACGACGTTAATTTCAGCATTGAATATTCACACCATAAACTGCTAGGAGACTTGCGGGCTTCGGATCTTTCCTTAAAATAACCAAACATTACGGTTTCATTAACATCTTGAATGTTTCGTGATGTATACCAAATTGAAAATGCGTTGTAAGTTTCATTATAACGGAATTTCGATTTTTCAGGTAACAGACAAGCGCAAGCAATATTGGCAGCTTCTTCTATTGCCTGTAAATGACTTGAATCACTCATTTTTCACTTTGAACAACTACTTTTTATTAGAAAACTTCACTTGTAAACAAATTTTTTTATCTTGTTGCTACGGAAATGAATACGTTCAATGAGTTCCTGATAATTTCTTAAATATTTTTTAGTTACTAGAATTATTACTTTTTAGTGTTACTGGTGTCGGTAGCAGAAAAAACGTAATACAATACACGCTGCGTAACTCCTTTCTTAAGTCTCGGAGGTTTGCCGGGCCTCGGCGTTGCCTCGGCCCGTCAAATCCACCTCGACAAAAAAGTTTCCTTACGCAGCTTGTAATGTAAATAACTATTTTGATCTTGGAGAAACGCCAGATGTTTCCACATCGGCGCCACTCAACGGTCAGGTATATGTCAAATGCATTTGTCACATTAGGTTAATAACATGTCACTAGTGTGAGTTTTAATATCAGAAAATGTTTACAAATATACCATTATCTAAAATTATTGTAAGTCGTAACGTAAGTATTCAAATTCAAATTAAATTTGCCAACTTTCCAATATGTTCCTAGTTCCCACGTTTCTTTTGCTTCTACTATGCCTTTTGTCCAAAACTCGGTTGGGAAACGGAAGTGCGCTATGGTGCGGTACTGGGCCTCCTGGCTTCAGTTGCTAGGGCTTGAAATTGGGTTCTGTGACTTGGAACTTCAATGCAAATCTATGGTGTATTTCATCATTGCAGATTATTGCAAGAGATCATTCTGACTGCACTCTTGACGGACTTGGCTCCTTCGGCACTAGGAAACTGGAGCTGGTAAGCATTACCTACGTCAGGGGGATGTGAGAGGAGCAGTATGATCCTCCGGTACATTTACAGGAACTACATTCTTTATGGAACAAAGAAGCGAACACACAGCTTCTCTTGCTCAATGTTAACAGCCACCTTGACGAGGTACAGGCTGTTTTTAGTGACGGGAGCTCTGGCGGAGGCTCACCGTAGCTTCCAATCTCGCTTAACTGAGTTAAGAAGCTGGCACAGGGTACTTCTACGACATTGGTCCCGGCTGGTGAAGGCTCTGGGGCAGTTAAGGAGCTGAGGAAGCCGGCGGCATGCGCGGGCGGGAAGATGTTCGCATCCGATCCCGCCATGGAGTGTCACCGACAGGCCGTGGGGAAAACGGCAGGCTGACTTCACCGTCAGTCCCGCCTTAGTACCCACGGGCCAAGGGAAAGCCTCTTGAACAAGCCCGGGCCAGGTGTGGAGCAACTCGTGTGTTAGTCCTTCGAACTGGATGGTTGTGAGTTAGCCTTACCCGTATGGGAGGTGAGAGGACGTTTGACACTTCAGGGAGAGCTGGGAGTATCGGTTTGAACTAACCGCTTGTTTCGACAGGTCACGAAATCTGGGACGTGGAAACGTGAACGAGTCCGACCCGTAACGGAACGGTTGCGTTCTGGTAAGGCTTTACTTTCGAGTAAAGGAGCTATGCGGGTAATAAGTTGTCTAGAACGAATCAACTCAGCAGTTGGGGAGCATGACAGCTACCTCCCAGTTGACTCGCTTTTTTCATTTACTTCAAAAGGCTTGCGGGTCGAAATTTATTTCGTATCTCATCAGGTCAACCAACCCCATCTCCAGTAGGTACGGACTGGGTAGTTAGCAAAGTGCGTCAGACCGGGCTGGGTGGTGGCCTAAACGCCCGCCGTAGCAAGGTAACGGGGCGATGGCGAGGGTTTACCAGTACCTATCTGACTGAGGTGCCCCCTTGAACTAATAAAGCCTGCTATCTCGAGGCGGGCCCTCAAGCCCCAACTGGGACTGCCGTCCCCCCGTGTCGACCCGCATTGGGGTACGACTCGAGGGAGTAGTGAAAAGCTTCTTGATGGAGGATCGCTCTTAGGGGCAGCCGAGCGGCGTGGACCCTCTCAGGTTATTCATTTCACTCTGCTCGTGACACATTTAACTGAAGTATTTTTTTGTAGTTGGCGCGTATTTTATTTGCCATTTAATCGTTGACGGCGCCATGCGGACGACACTTGCAACAGGAAAATAAACAGGCCGGTATATGTATATTAATAAAGGAGGTCGTGGTAAAAAATACACAAAATTTTATAATAATTTTTATTTGCATACCACCAGTTCCAGCTAATTTTTAAAATTTTGTATATATTTTTTTGTTTTCGGATTTATCCTTTAAATATTTTATTCTTATTAATGTTCGTTGTTTTAAAAAAGCTCTTGTGATCTCTTTTGGTAGTTCCACCATATTTTTTTCACAAATTTGTCATGCGAGTTACAATTTTTTCTTAAAACGAAACTTTTATTTCTGTGTAACATTAAACCTATGATTTCGAATCGACACACCTTCTTTAGCATATTTAAGGGTTCAGTTAAACCACCATACGAAACAGTTTTTGTAGGATCAAACTATAAGCTACCCAGAGCAACACAACACACAGCAAATACTAAATAATGGTATATACATAAAACACGGTACACAATGGCAACACACGACTCTCATCAAACATGTCATAATTAAAGGTACAGACAGTGTTACCAAAGTTAAAATTCCGCTACAGGTCGCTACAGGCAAAAATCGCGTCGTCACGGGGGAAAAATTTCGAAGTTTACACCAGCCATTCAAGATAACATTTTTTATAAATACAATATAAAGTGCCCAAATGCACAAAAAACCCTCCAATTTTCCAATTTTCAGGTTTTGGAAAAATTCCGCTACATTTCCAGGTTTTTTGCGCTACGCTGCTCTTTGGTCAAAATTCTGCTACGTCTGGCAACACTGGGTATAGATTAAAGGTACCTACCAGCTGATCGATCGCACCAATCCAAAACCAGATGTTACCAAAAATTCCCAAGTAATACCAACCTCATTTTGACGTCACATGGGCTGACAATTTTGCCCACATGCTCGTTTATGTGGTATAGTCCTGGAAAATAGAAGGCAAATCTAGCTTTTCAGGCTGCAACAGGATTATTACAATAGGATTACCATTACTTGAATGCTAATCCTGTTATTATTGTCTTAAAAATCAGGTCTGACTTCTATTTGCCAGCACCATAACCACCTGTTCTCTATTAAGTAACCTTGAGGGTGGAAACGATACCTGCGTAAAGCGTAAATACAGTCTGTCGGACGAAGACAGAAACATAAACATACAGTTTTACAACCTCTTATCAAAATGAAAAGAATTCTACTATATAATACTTATCTTTCCTTACTGCCACATATTTATTATGCTGCGATAGATATTATCAAATGAAATCTCTAATCAAAAATTGCATATGGCAATATTTGACTTTTATCACCCTATTGTCGTGCAATTTTGAATCATCCTTTAGTTGGTGCAGGCTTTTTAACTGTCTTTCCTGTTGGAAGGCCCACGAAAAGAAAGACAGCATGTTTGGACAGTTTCGGTTGGAAATATTTTTTGCTAATCGAACCTAAGATTAAATTTTTAGCAAATATACAAAGATGCAACTCACCTTAGACACAGCGTTTCGTAAAATGGGATAAATTTGTTTAAAATGACCTCACAAGAAAACTTTCGTTAAAAAGAAATTAATTACTCAAAATTGTGACATGATACTAATATAATTACTTTCAGAAAATATAAATATATTAGGGATGATATAAACTGGTTGTGATAGATACACGTAAATCTGAATAATCGTGAAATATTTTCCCCTAAATAATTTACAACGAAGCTGTACCATTTTTAATGTAGAAATTCTTCTCCAGAGGAAAGCAAAAACAAACACTGCTCATTATCAACAATAAAACAAAAAAAAACTTCCTTTAAAATCTAATAATGAAAAAACGAAGTCGTAATCGCTTTAAAAATCAAATTTACTGAAATGATAATTTTAAAAACACAGTAACATCCTTCAAATTAGACCAGAAAATTTAATATTCATTTTCACACAGGGACATTTGAGTATAAATAAATAAACACTAAATTACTCAACAGAGGGCCTCCAACCAGTACCTACTTATTAATATTTGACATACATACTCAACTTGAATGTGTCCACTTAATAATCAGTTTGTTCCCGTAATTATTAAAATTATTGATTACCAAACATCATTCTCTACATTTTATGAGAAGTATAATACATACCCATAAGAGTTTTCTTTATGAACACAACTACATTTTTTGTACTACAATTTTCGTAGTATTCTTAGAACTGAACAAATTTCATCTTTTTAAAATAAACATTTTTTGGAGCTTGTGTTAATTTACTTAAGTTTTTTTTCTATTATCTACCTCTATTATCTTAATTTGCTCCGTAATTTGTTACTAATATTTGCTATAAAAAGACTACTGGAGTTGAATTAACAACATTGTTAAGTAGTAATGCTGTACATGTTCGACTGAGCTCCAGAGTCATCTAAAATAAATTATGCTAGAGCAATTTTTTGGAGAAAATTAAGTTACGAGGGTAACTTCTAAATGATGTACGATACCATATAACAGAACTACAGTTTTTTTATAATTTCTTACATTATGAAAAATGTCTTCCGCGCTTTTTTGATTTTGAACTACCGTACCCATTGTTGTCAAAATTTGTGTGTTTATTAGGAATATCTTGCAGATGATAAAACGCTGACCAAAAATTGTTTGGTTATTCCCACCATCGATGATATGACTTCATCTCCAACTTTCACCATAGCAAATGTTATTTAAATTTTATAAAATAACATACCTACTCCAGCACTTGTAGTTTATGAACCGGTGTTGAGTTTTTACCCTAACCATCCACATTTTTGTAAAAAAATCAAAATTGTATAACAACATTTTAAAATTTAACTTTGAAACTCTAAAACCGAATGCTCTGAAATTTTGCAAACATTTTAAGGCTGTCGGAAACATTGTTAACCAAAATTTATCCGTTTATCACCTCCCAAAAAAAGTTGATGACGTCATCTCAAATTTTTACCAAATAAATGTCAAATATGCACAATATTAAGAGTCTATATTAATATCTATATTTGCAAGATCATTTTAAATATATACTAATGAAATTTTACAAGGTTAGTCAAAGAATCGAACCCCCAAAATTTTTAAACCATAAATTATACAGGTACGGCCACCAGAGACCGTCTGCTTGGGGCAATGCAGGAAATTCTGTAAGCACGCGACATGGCTTACAAGTTTACAAGGACCTAATGCGAAAAGCCGATTCGGCATTGTTAACCAAATAATCCTAATGATGTCATAAACATTTATTAGTATACATTTAAAGTGATCTTAGTATACTTGCAGTTTATCAATGCAATAATGCATTCATATTTTCCTTAATTGCTTATACAAGTGGTTCAAAAAACTTAATGAACGAGATGACATCTATCTATACCGGCTGTCTGAAAAATGGCGGATAACTCTCCGATACGTTCTTAACAATCAACTGGTGAGTCTGGGAAAAATAGTAAAAAAAATTCCTCACATTTTTGGTGGAGTTATAATGATTTTAAAATTGCTATGTTTAAGAATCAAATAACGCATTCATTATCACAATGACTAGTAATAAAACTTTTAGTTAATATTTTTTTCGCCCATGATCATGCTTAACATGGAACCAACATTACAAACAAGCTGTTACCAAAAACAATTTCACAAAATTCCCATAGTTAAACTGTTGTCAGTATAACAACTAGGCCTTTGTTAACGCAACGTGAAAAAGTAGTAATAATAATAATAATAATAATAATAATAATATCTTTATTTCCAACAGGTATATATGTACCCAATTACAGGAAATATAATAAGTAGCGGTCACAGAAAAGAGCGTATTTGCATAAAAAGAACATACTTATTAACTATATAATATAAATTGAAAAATTAACCAATACTGCACCTAAAATACACAAAAATTAACTAAATTACTTTACATTAAATTCCTACTACCTCTATGATACATTTAGAAATTATTTGAAGAGGATCCGCATTAATGTCGCATTGTCTAGAAATTAAATTAAATTTGTTGCATATGTTTTGTACAGGAGCCTTATACAAAATATTCGTCCTACAAGTAGATTATACGTAAAATGTTAAAGAGCATCTTGAATTTACTCTCGGAACAATGAAAAAGATTTTACCTACAAGATATGACGAATCAATTTTTCCCCTGAGTAAACAGAACAAAAATTTTATTGATACTATAAATCGTCTAGTCTCCAATGAATTTAGAAGAAAGCGATCTAGTAACAGACTATGGTCACAGTCTCGTGGTGGGTAATTGCCATCGGCAATAAAAACTAAAAATTTGAGGCATTTTCGCTGCACTTTTTCAAGAATATGGATATAAGTAATGTATAGAGGATCCCATATTAAGGAGGCGTATTCTAGTTTCGACCTTATACATGCAATATACAACATACGTAA